CCATAAGTCGTTATATATCACAATGCTATATGGCGAAAAAATGGGTGGATGCTTACTTGAAACCGGATTCCCACCACCATCCATCCCAGAAGAACGTCAACAACGCCGAAAGTTGCGAAGGGGCCGAGTCGACGCTCGCGACGGGGTTTAACGAACTCGCGACAGCGCTGTCCTCCAGACAGGTCTCGTCCCTTCACCTGATGAAGGCCGCTTGTGTTGTGGCCGAAACGTCGTGAGAATTTTATTGCGTTATTTTATTTTGTTATTTTATTATTTTATTCTCATTCTACGCGGTGGTGACTTTACCGAAAGAACCAAAGAAGATGAATCCTTGCAGTCACGAAAGCTTTAAATCGAAATTGAACTCGCGACCTTCCCGATGTATTTCCTTACGCTGAACAAACAAAAAAAAACAGTACGGAATTGCTCGCAGATTTTAAGCGCTTTAATTTCGAGCGTACGCTTGACGTCGCCCTTACGGGACGGCACTCGATGAAGCGATATTCAGCAACGAACGGAACAAAACGAACATTTACTTTACAATCGCAACGTATACATTACCACGAAAGTCCACGCCCGTCCGTGACGTTGTACTGCTCCTGTTCTGCCAAGCGTCTTTATTAAACAGTTCATGGCCAAATTTCGATTTAATGCTTTCGTGACTGCAAGGATTCATCTTCTTTGATTCTTTCGGTAAAAGTCACCCACCGCGTAGAATGAGAATAAAATAATAAATTGATAAAATAACACGATAAAATTCTCACGACGTTTCGTGTTGTGGCCGAAACGTCGTGAGAATTTTATCGTGTTATTTTAATTTATTAATTTATTCTCATTCCACGTGGTGACTTTACCGAAATAACCAAATAAGTTTATGGCCAGTTCATTGCTACCGACGTGAACCATGTGTCGCCTATTCCGAATGACCCAGCTTGTTGTTGTTGTTGTTTAATCACCACTTGACTGGCGTGGCCTTCAAAACGTCGACCTACACAGAGTTCGCTCTTCATTGCAAGGCCGCAGGCCACTGGCGGCCACTGATCGGCCTTTTAGCGCGGCCCTCTGATGTGCGCCCCCCCCCCCCCCGACAATACACAAATGTGAAAACCCCACCCCCCCCCCCCCCCAATCATCATGATCATGCTGCTGTCAACCCCAGCTGTGGTTTCAAATGTGTGGCCGCCGCCCGACTCAAAACTTATGGGAGAAAGTGTCCCCCCCCGCCTCCTCTCTGAAAATTGGTGAAAGACACTTTTATTATTCTTGGTACTTTCGGTAAAGTCACCGCCGCGTAGAAGGGAAAAAAAAAAATAATAAAAAAATAAAACAATAAAATTCTCACGACGTTCGACTGCAACAAAAGAAGCAATCATCATCAGGTGTGAACACCACAGCAAGAAAAATTTTTCACCGCCACTTATTCCAAATGTTCTTGCTGTGGTTTTCACACCTGATGATGATTGCTTCTTGTGTTGCAGTCCAAACTTCGTGAGAATTGTATTGTTTTATATTTTTATTATTTTATTGTTTCCCTTCTACGCGGTGGTGACTTTACCGAAAGAACCAAGAATATAAATCCCTGCAGTCACGAAAGCTTTAAATCAACAGAAAGACACTTACTTAAAACTGAACACCCAAAACATTTTAACCGCGGTGGCTAAAAGTCTCCACCCTGGCCACCATTTCGCCAAGAACATTAAACGCAAAACATAGCGTTAAAACGTTAAAACAATGTTAAAACAGCGTCAAAACAACGTTAAAACGTCAAAACAACGTCAAAACGTCAAAACAACGTTAAAACGACGTCAAAACAACGTTAAAGCAACGTTAAAACGTCAAAACGACGTCAAAACGACGTCAAAACGACGTCAAAACGACATCAAAGCGACGTCAAAGCGACGTCAAAACGACGTCAAAATGACGTCAAAATGACGTCAAAGCGACGTCAAAACGACGTCAAAACGACGTCAAAACGACGTCAAAGCGACGTCAAAACGACGTCAAAACGTCAAAACGACGTTAAAACGACGTCAAAACGACGTCAAAACAACGTTAAAACGCCAAAACAACGTTAAAACAACGTTAAAACAACGTTACAACGTCAAAGCAACGTCAAAACGTCAAAACAACGTCAAAACGACGTCGCTCGAAAAAAACCCCCGCTTATTTTAAAATCCTCGGGTTCAAAAGCGTCGACGTCTGGATCCTCAAACCAGTCAAAGATGTTGCCCCACTCTTTTGCAGGACGCTTGCCGGGAGGCAACGCAGGGACCATCCTCCCTCGTTTCACCTTTCTCGTCGACGCGGCTTTTCTTGAGACCTCGCTCGCCTGCGACAAGCGGACACATCGGAGACGCCACGACAACACCGCCATCGTTAACGGCCGCAAAGACGCGGGGACGCAAACGCAGAGGCGCTCGTAAAGAAGCACGGCGAGATGCTCCGCTTGGGATCACGCCGAGAGACGGTGAAAGGAGCAACGTTTTCGTCGTCCGTCCAGCCCGCACCTCCTCCGATTGGCACGGTTGGCTACGCGCGGTGGTGCCAAAGAAGTTCAACACGTACGTACGCACGTACGTACGTACGTACGGACAACACGAGGGTCAGATAATGTACACGGGGTTCGTGGCGACGCACCGTGGTGCCAAAGAAGTTCAACACACGCACGTACTGCACGGACAACACGAGGGTCGGATGATACACACGGGGGTTCGTGACGTCGTTCAAACTGTCGAGAGAAGCCGGCCTGGGCAGGAGAGGGACGATGGGACATGGTCTGGGAAAAAACGGACCGGAGCGGCGCCCAACGGAAATACTCGGCCGAGGCGGCCAACCGAGGAGACGGAGCGACGAGTTGAGCCCCGCGTGCACAGGCGCTAAGTGTGGATCGTTATAGATCTGCAGGATCGCGAGAGAGGTGGCGATTGCGCGGGGAGGCCTCCGTCCGGAAAGTGGAATGATTACGGCCGACGGGAGTCTCCATGCCACAAAAACAAGAATGTAGAAGCGTGAAAACGAGGGCTCCAAACGTCTGACACGAACACAATATTATTGCAAACATTAAACAGCGTTTACATAAAAGAGGGGGGGAGGGGGAGCACTCAAAAGCTCCACACTTGATAGATTCAAGAATCCATGGCTGCACTGCCATCTCCTGACCACCTCGTAGGCCAAGCCTGGTAGTCCCCAGCAGTCTCCCATGCAAGTATTGCACCGGCTAAACCCTGCTTGGCGTCTGAGATTTGACAAGAGTGGGCCCTTTTAAAGATCGGTAAAAATTGTTGGCTTGAATTGGGTGGGTGACCGATCGGGTGACCGGCATTGACGCTGCAATACGCGGACTAGGAATGGGAGCGACCGTCTAGAAGCAATGCAATGAGATAAGCAGACAATAGAAGTGACGCTGCTATACGTGGACTGGGAATGAGACGCCTAGAAGCAATGCAATGAGATAAGCAGACAATAGAAGTGACGCTGCTATACGCGGACTGGGAATGAGACGCCTAGAAGCAATGCAATGAGACAAGTGGACAATAGAAGAAATAAAACAAACTTTCGTGTTGTTTTATTTTTACCGAAAGAACCAAGAATATGAATCCAATACTATGCAGGCATATCCTCGGCAACTTCGCAGCAACACCTGATATCGTTAGCAGACCCCCGCAAGGTATATTCAACATTTGCCACGAACAATTTTGCCAAAAATTTAAAGTGTAGTGGTAAAGCCTCACTCGGATTGTGTCCGTGTCATCGTCATCGGAGTCACCTGACCCCTCGGCATCACCAAGGTTCTGAGGGAAATGTAAACAGTGATTAGAAACAAATTAACTTGGGCAGCTTCAGAGGTCAAATCAATTTCTAGGTTCACCTCCTCCAACCACATTTTGCCACACCGCGTGCACTCCAGCCACGACCAATTTCATTCCACAAATGCCTCAATGACGTAGCTGCTGCAACTTGGCACAGCCACGTTTCAAAGCTTGCCTGAGTCGTTTCAAGGCCCCGGTTACGGATATTCAGTTGAGGAAATTGTTTCCATTAAAAGTGAAGTCACTTGAAGTAATCAATCCCATTCATTAAAACAGCTCATTCGGGGGGGGGGGGGGCGACGGAGCCGGGGGGGGCGACGTTTCGGCCACAACACAAGCAGCCGTCCTCAGGTGAAGCAACAGAACTGTCGGGAAGACGGCGCTCCAGTGAACACCGCTAAGCTTGGCAGCGTCTTTTAAGCTGGGAGGGAGGAGCAGAGCACCTTGACAAAGGAGTTTACATATCAACAGAAGGATTTAGCATTGAAGTAGCTGTGTTAATGTGTTGGATTAGCAGGGTGTTAAAGTGACAAATTAGCATGTAACTGGGAGATTAGCATGATGTTAATGTGAGGAATTAGCATGTAACTGGGAGATTAGCATGATGTTAATGTGATGAATTAGCATGTAACTGGGAGATTAGCATGATGTTAATGTGAGGAATTAGCATGTAACTGGGAGATTAGCATGATGTTAACGTGAGGGACTAGCATGTAACTGGGAGATTAACATGTTATTGTGAGGAATTAGCATGTAACTGGGAGATTAGCAGGATGTTAATGTGAGGAATTAGCATGTAACTGGGAGATTAGCATGATGTTAATGTGATGAATTAGCATGTAACTGGGAGATTAGCAGGATGTTAATGTGAGGAATTAGCATGTAACTGGGAGATTAGCATGATGCTAATGTGAGGGACTAACATGTAACTGGGAGATTAGTAGGATGTTAAAGTCATAAATTAGCATGTAACTGGGAGATTAGCAGGATGTTAGTGTGAAGAATTAGCATGTAACTGGGAGATTAACAGGATGTTAATGTGATGAATTAGCATGTAACTGGGAGATTAGCATGATGCTAACGTAAGGGACTAGCATGTAACTGGGAGATTAGCATGATGTTAACGTGAGGGACTAGCATGTGACATAAACAGTTCAGGTTGAACCTGGTCCAGGCACCATTGGTGCCGCATCAGCGAAACCTCGACATCCACATGAGGAAGACGTCGGAGACTCTCACCTTGCCTGCTGCCCTGGCCTTGCCGGTTCGCTTGGGCGGCATCGCGCCAGACGCACTTTCTCTCAGCTGTTCATCCGCCTAACGAGCATTCGTAAATATCGACGACGATAAATCTTGATGTAAAGCTTTCGTGACTGCAGCGATTCATACCCTTAGCTCTTTCGGTGAAGTCACGTTGAAGGGAAACGATAAAATATACGTAAAACAATAAAAAAATTCTCACAACGTTTCGACCGTAACGCAAACGGTCGTCATCAGGTATGAAAAAACCAATGGCAAGAAACATTTGAAAGAAGTGGCGGTTTGTATTTATTTATTTATAAACGGTGCTTGCATTTATTTATTTTTAAAACGTTAGCGCCACGGAAAAAAGCGATTTGGCAGTTTGTTTATAAGGAAGAGTCAATCCATGTTCGTAAAAGATCCTACAATTTAACAAAACATATTCGGCCTTGCTGGAATACGGCGTTAAGACAAAAGGCTTCCTGAAATTTTTTTTACGTAATTTACTTTACAAAAAAAAAATCAGTTCTCCCGTCCGCGCATCGCATGGGCAAATCTGAAATCTGCGTCGAGGTGTTGCACGTTGAGATGTTTGAGAATTCAGAAACCCGTCCCCCTGGTCACGGGCATGCTTTGTGAGCGCTCCGTCTCTGGCACATCCATCCTACGGTTATTTAACAAAATGCTTCAAGCTCGCCACGATGTTTATTCCACCTCCACGCACCCAGTGACCTCAGCCTTTCGTTCCGCTTCATGGTGATGGAGACTAGCATTAAACTGCAGAGTAGAGATTGTTTGTTTTATTAAAAATTTATATTTTAATGCCAATTGTCAAATTAATGCCTTAAGATTCCAATTACACAGCCATGCAATAATCAAGCAACTATTTTCATTAGATTATAGCAAATGTTTAATTATCTGCGGCATGCCAGTCAGCCCCCATAACGGGAAAGGCTCTCCCCCCAGTTGTTCCGGCGTTGAGTGTTTTGACTGCGCGCCGTACATTAGGAGGAATGCCTCGAATCAGCACGAACATCCACAAGTGACCCTGGCATGAGGCGAATCATCCGTGGGGTCAAGCGAGCCGCTCCTTCCCCTACGAGAGTGGATCGAGTCCCATTGCGGCGTCCAAAGAATCTCGATCAAAGCGGTCGCGTTAACTCACCGTCAAATCCATGCCTTCCGAGCTCTCAAAGTCCGACCTGTAGGGTGACTTTCGCTTTTTATTCACCATCTTCGCCGTGGCAAGGGGCTCGCGAACGCCCTTGGAAGCCGAATTGGCCACTGTTGCTGGTGCGGGCAAAGGTGGAGTCTTGCAGATCACACGATACACAGACAAAGATCCCCCATTTAGGTCTCGCAGGCTGTAGGAGTGAAGTCTTGTAGATCACACGACACACAGACAAAGATCCCACATTTAGGTCTCGCAGGCTGTAGGAGTGAAGTCTTGAAGGTCACACGACACACGGACAAAGATCCCACATTTAGGTCTCGCAGGCTGTAGGAGTGAATTCTTGCAGATCACACGACACACAGACAAAGATCCCACATTTAGGTCTCGCAGGCTGTAGGAGTGAAGTCTTGCA